AATGATAAAAGCAACCCATTTCATTATGTAAGAGGTCAATTTTTTTTATTGGAGTTAAAATTAACGTAGATATATGACCGAACCTAACCAAACCCTCACAAATACACAACCTAACCTTTCTTTATAGGTTAGGTTAGGTTAGGTAGGTGATGTGGCAAAAAGGTTAGGTTAGGTTAGGTTAGGTAGGTTAGGGGTAGTCGAAAAAGCAATGGGTATTGATTCATGAAAATTGGTCCATATTTATGCTTCTATATTAGCGGAAAGGTGGGTCTTGAGGTGGGTTTGCCTCTACCCATAGTAGGCAATATAGAAGCATCAAGAAATATCAGAAGTGAGTTCTGGCTACTAGGTACCCATGTTTCTGACTGTCTTGTGTTGATACTTTATATATTAATATATAGTGTTCTGTCTTGTGTTAATGCCACATATATACTATATCACCCTTCCATCATTAAATGTAGATATAAAATCAGGGAAACGCAAGTTCTAATATATATATTTGTAGTCTTTAATATATAAGTTTTATATCGCGTCAGACTAGAATAAAAATGAATTTTGGAGAAGTGATTTTATATCCAATATAAGCGTAATATGATATATTCGTGTTAGAATTATAATCTTACTTTTATATATAATATATATATATATATATATATATATATATATATATATATATATATATATATATATATATATATATATATATATATATATATATATATATATATAACGATTCCACGTATTCGCAGTTTGAAATTCCGAATTTTATACCGAAAATATGCCAATTACTGAGAGCAGCGGTGGGTCACATTTTGCCCAAACCCCCCTGCAGTTTTCAAAATATCCCAAACATCCAAAATTCGACGCCATATATATATGTATATACTGAGAGAGCACACACAAGGCCTGTGTGTACCCCTAAGTCAACCAACAGACCAATGAGTTAACTGTTGGCTGACACCACCGGTCAACCAACTCACAGTACCAACATTGCACATAATATGTAACTCATCACGGAGAACAGAAAATAAACAGAAAACATACTCTTATATATATCTCATCATATCTCTTATGTAAATGTAACCTCATAGCAATATGTATATTCAATAGACACAAGAAGCTCACCAACTGCGCCAGTTGGCTGTACCGACAGACACATACACACAGGCAAGTGGAGAGTGTGTGTGTTTGTGTGTGTGTGTGTGTGTGTGTGTGTGTGTGTGTGTGTGTGTGTGTGTGTGTGTGTGTGTGTGTGTGTGTGTGTGTGTGTGTGTGTGTGTGTGTGTGTGTGTGTGTGTGTGTGTGTGTGTGTGTGTGTGTGTGTGTGTGTGTGTGTGTGTGTGTGTGTGTGTGTGTTTTAATAACTGTAGCAGCGTGTGCCGATGAAACACACACACACACAACACATCATGAACTATAATAATAATACTAATACTAATACGGTACCATACCGTGCAATAGACTATAATACACGTGTATATAATGATATTTCAAAGACTGCTGAATGAATTACAGTGTAATAGCGGTACCTTGACTCTTTAAGGTAAGACCTGAGCGTATCCTGTCTGAACTGGTTAGGCTGGGTCATAGCGATGACCAAGCAACAAGCATTATGCAAGAAAGAGAAGGATGGGGAGACTGCACTTTCTTGGATTGTCAGAAAGCGTTTGACACAGTACCTTATATAAGAGACTGTTGCATATGTTGTTAAAACAAGCTGGAGTAAGCGGTAGGGTGTTCCAATGGGTAAGGGAGTACCTAAGCAACAGGAAGCAGAGAGTTACTGTGAGGGGTGAGACCTCAGATTAACGTAATGTCACCAGCGGTGTCCCACAGGGCTCTGTACTCGGTCCTATCTTGTTTCTGATATAAGTGAATGATCTTCCAGAAGGTACAGACTCATTTCGTCAATGTTTGCTGATGATGCTAAAATTATGAAAAGGATTACGACAGAAGAGAACAACAAGCAAGACAACTGGATGACCTAAACAGACTGAAGGAATGATCCAACAAATGGCTACTAGATTTTAACCCGATTAAGTGCAAAGTGATGAAGAGCAGGGAGGCCTGCTATTAGGGAGGAGGCCTAACACAGATTTCCAGCTGAAAAAGGAAATCCTTCAGGCTTTAGGACGAGAGAAAGATCTGGGGGTTGATATCACACCAGACCTGTCCTCTCTAGCCCACATCAAGAGGATAACATCAGCGGCGTATGCAAAGCTAGCCTACTTACGTCTAGACGCTTATGCTCAGAAACATGTGTAAGGAATCATTCAGAACCTTGTATACCACATATGTCAGACCAATACTGGAATATGCGGCTCCAACCTGGAGTCCACATCAAGTCAAACACAAAACGATGTTTGAAAAGGTTCAGAGGTTTACCACCAGGTTAGTCCCTGAGTTGAGAGGTATGAGTTAAGAGGAAAGATTACTGGAACTAAACACTGGAAGATAGAAATTAGTGGAGACATGTTCACTACCTATACAATTCTCAGAGTAATTGACAGGGTAAATAAAGATAAACTCTTTATCACAGGTGGCACATGAACAAGGGGGATACAGGTTATCTTGAGATGATTTCGGGGCTTTAGGTGTCCCCGCGGCCCGGTCCTCGACCAGGCCTCCACCCCCCAGGAAGCAGCCCGTGACAGCTGACTAAAACCCAGGTACCTATTTTAATGCTAAGTAACAGGGGCATAGGGTGAAAGAAACTCTGCCTATTGTTTCTCGCCGGCGCCCGGGATCGAACCCGGGACCACAGAATCACAAGTCCAGCGTGCTGTCCGCTCGGCCGACCGGCTCCCTTTCAGGTTGAAACATAGTACCCAAATGAGCCACAGAGACGTTAGAAAGAACCTTTTTAATTCAGTGTAAGAGTGCATTAGAATGGAATGCATTAGGCAGTGATGTGGTGGAGGCTGACTCCATACACAGTCTCAAATGTAGATATGATAGAACCCAATAGGCTCAGGAATCAATACACCAGTTGATTGACAGTTGAGAGGCGGGGACCAAAGAGCCAAAGCTCAACCCCCGCAAGCACAACTAGACGAGTACTGAGACTTTTAAGTCCTCGACATCCCTTAATTATCTCGAGCATATCAGACGAGGACCGGGAATAACTGTATTTGTCAGAGGGAATGTCGAGACGGGTCGGCCAAACAAGCCAAACATACACACAAACCTAATAGAAATGACTGATGAAGCAGATACAATAATATAAGAGAAGTTATATATAAATGACTCTGTTAAAATATCATGAGTGTTTATGTCTAACATGCACGGTGGGAAGGAGGAATTATCAGGGGGAAAGTGCCTTGCCATTACGACAATATAACACTGGGAAGAGATAAGGATAAGGATTTAGGATGGAACAGGAAGGGAAGGAATGGTGCCTAACCACTTGTGGACGGTCGAGGATTGAACGCCGACCTGCATGAGGCGAAACCGTCGCTCTACCGTCCTGCCCAAGTGATTGGGCGCATGGTAGGGGAACTATTTTCATTGTTTACATTTATTTTACAAATGAAATGCGTAGGATTGTAGGATGAAAAAACTTTAGAAAGTATGATGAGGCGAGAACCAGCCAGGGTTATGATGAAGCAGCCAGAGGTATGTTGTGATATAATGAGCCTGACAGGGATATAATGACATATGATGAAGCAGCCAGTTGGATGATTTAGCAGCCAGAGATAGGATGTGATATAATGAACCAGCCAAGGGCAAGATGAGATATAATGAACCAGCCAGGGGCAAGATGAGATATAATGAACCAACTAGAGGTATAATGAACCAGCCAGGGGTATGATGAGGCATAATGAACCAGCCAGAGGTATAATGAGGTATAATGAACCAGCCTGGGGTATGATGAGGTATAATGAACCAGCCAGAGGTATAATGAGGTATAATGAACTAGTCAGGGGGGGGGTATGATGAACCAGCCCGGTGTTCAGCTATTCCTTCCTGTATTGCCACATTTATCCCTCACCAAAACCACAAATATCTTTAGAGAAATTTTTGTATAACATTCTCATACAATCTTATTCAGGAACATCATACATCTTGGGGCTTATTTTGAGACAACTATTCACCAATTTGTCTATAATTTTGTATATTTTTCGTATTTTTCGTTTCAAAGCAAACTCCCAATGATCAGGCAAGAGGCGCTCACCGTATCAACTTTTGCAATATCCTCTTGTGAAAGGCCTTGCAATGCCTTCTCCTGAAAGGCTTTGCAATATGTAATTCCTCAAGCGGAATGGCTCAAAGGTTGGCGAGTCTGGTTCTAAAACAGAGAGATTCTGGTGATTGCCTTCGTGTCGTAGAAGGTGATTAATTGGATCAGGAATGGAACAGGAACCATTTTTGATACAAAGAAATTCTTCGCAGGCTTTTATGTTCATTCCATCTGGCTCACGCCTTAAATGGGAGGAGCCGGAGAACAGCCCATATCCGGCCCGGCGAGGGCTTTTGTAGCCAGCCCCGTTTTCTTGATTTGCCACCACATAAAAAAAAAGCCCAACCACCTCCTGTAACCTCTTCAGAAACGAACAAAGCCAAGCTGCCTACCCTAACCTTACGTGAGTCCGGTGCACGGGAACTGTTTCCGTTGACAGTAGGTTGCATTTGTAACGTTCGTAACCATAAACCTAAAAATAAACGAGATTACTTAAGAGGACAAGAACAAAAGGTATATATGCTGGTTAGCATTGTTAACGTGTGGCCACGTCTGTGGTAGAAAATAATAATAATAAAAAAAAATTAAGAGGACGGGTTGACAATGCAGATGGGAGAGTTCCCCCCCCCCCTGGATGAGGGACTGTCTAATGTGGGAACACTGACGCCAGGAGACCGTCATATGTATACTGTATACTGGGGTATACTGTATACTGGGGTATACTGTATACTGGGGTATACTGTATACTGTCCAAGGTGGAAACACTGACGCTAAACGTACACTGGAGAAACAATTAACGGTGAGAGGAAATCGTCGTATGATGCTGGTCTCTTGGCAAACAGAACAGCAAAATACATGTGTTGAACATGTGGAAGAACAGTATACATGTGTGGAAGAACAGTATACATGTGTGGAAGAACAGTATACATGTGTGGAAGAACAGTATACATGTGTGGAAGAACAGTATACATGTGTGGAAGAACAGTATACATGTGTGGAAGAACAGTATACATGTGTGGAAGAACAGTATACACGTGTGGAAGAACAGTATAAATATGTGGAAGAACAGTATACATGTGTGGAAGAACAGTATACACGTGTGGAAGAACAGTATAAATATGTGGAAGAACAGTATACATGTGTGGAAGAACAGTATACATGTGTGGAAGAACAGTATACATGTGTGGAAGAACAGTATACATGTGTGGAAGAACAGTATACATGTGTGGAAGAACAGTATACATGTGTGGAAGAACAGTATACACGTGTGGAAGAACAGTATACACGTGTGGAAGAACAGTATACATGTGTGGAAGAACAGTATACATATGTGGAAGAACAGTATACACGTGTGGAAGGACAGTATACATGTGTGGAAGAACAGTATACACGTGTGGAAGGACAGTATACATGTGTGGAAGAACAGTATACATGTGTGGAAGAACAGTATACACGTGTGGAAGGACAGTATACACATGTGGAAGGACAGTATACACATGTGGAAGGACAATATACACATGTCAATGAACAGTATACACATGTGGAAGGACAATATACACATGTCAATGAACAGTATACATGTGTGCAGGAACAAGGCAACAACATATTCATGAAGAACAACAGTATACTCATCAGGACCATCACTATACACACGTGTCGAGCAACAACACAAGGATATACACATGTGTGAATTTAGAGCATAATGGCATACGCATACATTTAGTTATTACAGCCACCACAATAGCTCAAAGGTCGCAAGTATACTTCTGCCCTGAAGTATAACCAGTAATTATACTTCAGTCCAAGTTTATCCAGTAGATATACTTCAATGTTGAAGTATAATTAGCAAGTATACTTCAGTTCATAGTTAAGGTAACCTCTTAATGTATATTCGACGAGAAGGGTGAGTATACCTGTTGTCTGGCAGTGACAGTAGTATACTGGTCACCAAGTATATCTAAGTATACATTTATCTTTGCTATACTGAGTTTACTCTCTCTCTCTCTTGTTTCTTTTACTCTCCATCTCTTCTTTTCTCTCATAGTCTTCTCTCATTTTCTCTTTTCCCCTCTCTTCTCTCCTTTCCCCTCTTACTCTATCTCTTTATCTCTTGTTCTCTCTCTCTCTCTCTTCGCCTCTTTGTCTGTGTTATACCAGGGCAGGTAAGCCCCGGGGGAAATAAATAAACCACTGAGGATCAAAAACTTAAGAAAACATTAAAACATGTTTTAAAGCTCATATAAGTCTACGGTAAACACCCGCCACATTAACATTCAAATAGTCTCAAGTCTGGACTTAGTTGGGTATTTATTCGGTGAAAACGGCATCAAAAGTATCATCATGAGCACTTAAAAAAGTTACATGAATTGACTTTATATCGTTTATAATAGCTACGTAAAATATTGAAATGTTCAGTAACACCTTCCAAAAGAGGTTTCGTTCAAAAAATGTTCTTTAAGAATATGCAGATCGAGGCTGTACTACAGAATCGAACCTGCGTCCTTGGAGTTAATATTCTTTCATCGATATATGTTCTTTTGATGTTCTTGTGATTGTTTGTTCATTAATTTACACGACACCTCGGACATAGGGAGGAATTACACTGTGGTGGAAGACGTTATGGAAGACCTTTGTCGTAACTGGCACAGACATTAAGTCATTATCAGAGGAGAGCACCGAGCCAGGGAGACTATGTAGCGGTAACTGCATAGATGATTGATGGTGCAGTGGTTAGTGTACCAGCGCTGTTGGTGGGGGAGATAACCGCAACGGCCTGGGGTTCGAATCCAGAGGGGTCATATAGAGTTCAAGTGATTCTGTGCTTAGAGACCAATCAAGTTTTGCTCAAAAAATATATATATATATATATATATATATATATATATATATATATATATATATATATATATATATATATATATATATATATGTGCAAAACAACACAAGACATTACTTGTCTCAACTCATCAGCAGTTAAAGACAAAAAACATTCGCGAACTTCAGGACATTACAAGTACGACCCAAAATTAACTCATTGTCTCCAACATTTAGTTATTCAAGTTTGATTTAAGAGTAAAATTGAATTGAGATGAAAATAATATTTGTGCGATACTTTTGTGTAAATATTCTTTGGTGGAAGTTTTAGAGATTAAATAAAGAGAAATATTATATAACTTTTTTCATTACAGGATTGGTTAGGGTGATGGTAATAAAGTGATGGAATAATGTGAGTGTGTGTGTTTGTGTACTCACCTAGTTGTACTCACCTAGTTGTGTTTGCGGGGGTTGAGCTCTGGCTCTTTGGTCCCGCCTCTCAACCGTCAATCAACAGGTGTACAGATTCCTGAGCCTATCGGGCTCTATCATATCTACACTTGAAACTGTGTATGGAGTCAGCCTCCACCACATCACTTCCTAGTGCATTCCATTTGTCCACCACTCTGACACTAAAAAAGTTCTTTCTAATATCTCTGTGGTTCATTTGGGCACTCAGTTTCCACCTGTGTCCCCTTGTACGTGTTCCCCTTGTGTTAAATAGACTGTCTTTATCTACCCTATCAATTTCCTTCAGAATCTTGAATGTGGTGATCATGTCCCCCCTAACTCTTCTGTTTTCCAGCGAAGTGAGGTTTAATTCCCGTAGTCTCTCCTCGTAGCTCATACCTCTCAGCTCGGGTACTAGTCTGGTGGCAAACCTTTGAACCTTTTCCAGTTTAGTCTTATCCTTGACTAGATATGGACTCCATGCTGGGGCTGCATACTCCAGGATTGGCCTGACATATGTGGTATACAAAGTTCTGAATGATTCTTTACACAAGTTTCCGAATGCCGTTCGTGTGTTGGCCAGCCTGGCATATGCCGCTGATGTTATCCTCTTGATATGTGCTGCAGGAGACAAGTCTGGCGTGATATCAACCCCCCAAGTCTTTTTCCTTTTTGTGTGAGTGTCTGTTTGTGTGTGTGGGAATGCTGTCACTGTACATGTACTCCAGTCTCTTATCTTTACCTTCCCAGCAGTCTAATACAATGATTCCTTAATCCTGCTCACTTCCCCTTGTTATTGTTAACTCCCCCCCCTTACTTTTACCTTGCTTATTTGCTCACATACCCCTTATTATTAATGGAGAGAATGTGAGAAGAAGGGAGGGGGAGTAAAGGGAAGGGGGAGAGGCGATGGAGGGAAGGGGAGGACAGGAGATTAATAGAGGGAGGAGGAGGGGAGGGAAGGAATAGGATATAGGACAAACTTTGCCAACTCAGGTAAAGTTAGATGGAGCTTCAATGTACGATATTTTCTTGCTTAGCCTCGTTATTACTTTATATATATATATATATATATATATATATATATATATATATATATATATATATATATATATATATATATATATATGTCGTACCTAGTAGCCAGAACGCACTTCTCAGCCTACTATGCAATGCCCGATTTGCCTAATAAGCCAAGTTTTCCTGAATTAATATATTTTCTCTAATTTTTTTCTTATGAAATGATAAAGCTGCCCATTTCATTATATATGAGATCAATTTTTTTTTATTGGAGTTAAAATTAACGTAGATATATGGCCAAACCTAACCAACCCTACCTAACCTAACCTAACCTATCTTTATAGGTTAGGTTAGGTTAGGTAGCAGAAAAAGTTAGGTTAGGTTAGGTTAGGTAGGTTAGGTAGTCGAAAAACAATTAATTCATGAAAACTTGGCTTATTAGGCAAATCGGGCCATGCATAGTAGGCTGAGAAGTGCGTTCTGGCTATTAGGTACGACATATATATATATATATATATATATATATATATATATATATATATATATATATATATATATATATGAATATGATTATGCATAATCTTTTTTTTTTATTTTCTTCTTTGGGGCTTCTATCAATCTGACTTGTGCTCTTGCATCTTGGTTGAATTGGAAGAGGATCTCTCCAAATGTCATCTTTGTTTGAGGTGAACTAAAAGATTGAATTAACGAATTAATTAACGAATTAACGAATTAGGAATTAACTGAAGAATGTATTACATTAATTAAAAATTTACACAACGTTTCGAGCCTACATGTTTCATTCTCACGTGATGAGACTTGAATAACGGCGAAATGCTGTGCTGGGCGAAATGGATTTATACAAATAGGGACGCCAGGTACATAATATAAATAGGTGAGGAGTACAGCGTAAAGAGGAGAGAAATAGGGCATAAATGGGGGGACGAATATGGGATGTAAATGGTGAGGAGTAAAGCGGAAAAAAGGGAGAAAGCACATACCAAGATTAATCAAGTGCAGTAGGGAAGCCAAACCATGCAACACTACAAGTTTGTGAGTCAAAATACACATTTCATTTATGGTAAAAGGAGAAATGCTTGGAGTGACTCTGTACACATGCGGCTCTGGCTTGGGTACAAATATTACTGGGAATATGGAATTGAGGTTAATGAGAATGAGACGAAGTGTAAACTATGAGCACCTGACAGCTGGGTGGACAGCGCTTCGGATTCGTAGTACTGAGGTTCCGGGTTCGATCCCCGGTGGAGGCGGAGACAAATGGGCAAAATGTTTCTTTCACCCTGATTACTTAGCAGTAAATAGGTACCTGGGAATTAGACAGGTGCTACGGGCTGCTTCCCGGGGGTGGAGGCCTGGTCGAGGACCGGGCCGCGGGGACACTAAGCCCCGAAATCATCTCAAGATAACCTCAAGATAAGATGGGGTATGTTACGGTCGCACACTCTCACCCATTATGTTCCTGATCGTCCGTTGATTAATGTATATAGAAATACTGAGATAAGGACTTTTCCTGAACAAATAGCCTGGATGTGTCACAATGGAAAGATTGATGATATTCTGGAGAGAGATATATATATAAGAATTTGGCACCAAGACTGTAACTTTGATGAATTGTCTGAATGTCTATTGCGAATTGTCTGTGTACCTCGTCACACAAGTATTTGTGTGAACGTCTGGTAACATATTGCAGGGGTAAAGTAAACAATTTTGTGTATCACTCAGAATATTCAGTATATTATTTTATTATTGTTTGTGATGTGAGTCTATATATATATATATATATATATATATATATATATATATATATATATATATATATATATATATATATATATATATATATATATATATATATGTCGTACCTAGTAGCCAGAACGCACTTCTCAGCCTACTATGCAAGGCCGAATTTGCCTAATAAGCCAAGTTTTCATGAATTAATTGTTTTTCGTCTACCTAACCTACCTAACCTAACCTAACCTACCTTTTTCGGCTACCTAACCGAACCTAACCTATAAAGATAGGTTAGGTAGGTTAGGTAGGGTTGGTTACGTTTGGTCATATATCTGCGTTAATTTTAACTCCAATAAAAAAAATTGACCACATACATAATGAAATGGGTAGCTTTATCATTTCATAAGAAAACAAATTAGAGAAAATATATTAATTCAGGAAAACTTGGCTTATTAGGCAAATTCGGTCTTGCATAGTAGGCTGAGAAGTGCGTTCTGGCTACTAGGTACGACATATATATATATATATATATATATATATATATATATATATATATATATATATATATATATATATATATATATATTTAATACCTAGAAGGGATACCACCTCTGGTGCAATATATATATATATATATATATATATATATATATA